AACCTTCAACCCAAAACCCTAAAGGGGTTTTGTAAGCAGGCTCCTCTTCTAATGACCAGTCATGATCAGGCCGATGAAGGGAGAGATTCCTCAGGTCATACCCGGCGTGTTGCGCCAGGGCCGCAAAGAATCCTGGGCCCCTGTTCCCAATGGGACCAGTTAATCTTCACTCAGGAATTTTCTATCATACTCTTTAAGTAGTAGCACACCCAAATCTTTGTCCTGCAAGCTTGAAAGCCAGCCCAGCTTTTTCGAGTTTGGTATAGAGAGCCTGCAGGATCCACGACCCTAAACCCTAAACCCTNNACCCTAAACCCTCTAACCTAAGCCCTTTAATAGTTGTCGCTTTCTTGTCCATTCTCACTATACAACGAGAAAACTGGTCCACAAATGTGACTCAGAATCGGGGCTCGTATTCCACGGCACCATGCTTTGGCCAGCATCCAGCAGCTGGGACCATGTTGATAATGAATCCAGCATCAGCTCGTGCAAGGCTGTGTATGTTTCTGAAAGCATGATACTGCGATGCCCAAATGTCACTCTTGTCATATCCCTCAGGCTCTTCGATGTATCCACGTTGCCCAATGTGCTCCGTGGTGCCGAAATTTGTGACGACGTCGCACTTCCCCAGAAGCCAGTTAAAGGAGGAGTTCAAAGGTCTCGACAAGTCCAGCGGAAACGCAAAGTCTCGGCCATTGATGTCCAGACTTACCTGGGCTCCATTTGGGTTTGGCGATATGGCTTTAGGGATTAGGGTTCTGGGGGGGGTGTAAATAAGGCTCAGTGTTTAGGCAACATGGTTCAAGGATTAGGTTTTAGAGGCTTGAGCTTTAGTAACAGGCTTTTCTGTGGAAAGTTGAACTTCAGAATTAAGTAACTGACCAGGCGCCCCCGAACGGCCTAAAATTGGTCTCCCTCATAACGAATCCTCAATGGACCCCCAAAGCAAAGGAGCCTAGAAGGATATTGGAGTAGAAAACTCATCCTAGCTAGACAGCAGGCAGAAACTACGACAAGAACATGCCCAGTGATGATCATGCAACGCCATAGTGCTTCATGCAGCCCAAGTCTCATGCTTAAAGCCCAGCCTCTCAAAGACCTTCTTCCCACTGGCCAGTGCAGGCGAGGGAGTCACGGCCATGCTCTGCAACACGCCCCAGAGGTCGTTGATGTCAGGTCGATACCCATGCTTCTGCAGCACACTCATGGCAGCTTTTGTGACTCCTGAATCTGTGCGGGAAACTCACAGAAATCAAGTTCAGCTATTTACCTGCTACGGCCCGTAGAATTTTGGGTTTCAGGGTTCAGGGAATTTGGAATGTTTTATAACCCGCAAAAGGAAACCGTAAAAGAAAAGCCTAAACCCTAAAAGAGAACCCGAAACCCTATAAGAAAACCTTAAAGCCTAAACCCTAAACCCCAAAAGAAAACACTAAACCACCAAAAAAACAAAAAAAATCCAGGACATTGCTAGACTCTCTGATTGCCCAGCTCACATATCTGCACGCCTAACAGGGCAGCAAGCGTGAACCCTCTTCTAGAGATATTATATGTAGGGTTTAGGGTTTGGCGTT